GACAGTGGTGAGGATGCACCAGGACAGGGCCGGGTTTTGTTCCGCTGTGCATAGGGTAGATAGGGGTTGGAATCGGTGGCACCTAGCAACAACAACAACGTCTGAGAGTCTTGGAAGCCTACAGGGGCAGTTATACTTTGTCCTATAGCAGAGGTTCTCAACCTGTGGGTTATGACCCCTTTGGAGTCAACCGACCCTTTCACAAGGGTTGCCCAATTCCTAACAGTAGCAAAATTACAGTAATGAAGTAGCAATGAAATCATTTTATGGTTGGGGGTCACTACCACATGAGGAACTGCATGAAAGGGTTGCAGCATTAGGACAGTTGAGAACCACTGTCCGTCAGGGTCACTGTGAGTCAGTATCAGCTTGATGGCAGAGTTTGGTTTCTTTAGGTTTGCCCTTTAAGTGATATTTCTTTTTAAAATTATTTGATTAATATTATAATTTATTTAATTCTAAGTGTCCAAAATATTGTTTAAAATATGTCACCAATATAAAATATTACTGAGATAATTTGTATTCATTATTTTTACTATTTGATTTTACACTTACAGTGCATCTCAATTTGGACAACCACACTTCAAATGTTCAATAGCCACAAGTGGCTAGTAGCTACCATAGTGGAAAGTGCAGCCTTGTGGTAATATTAGATTTGTAAAGATGATACATTTCATCACACTCTGCTAAATCACAGAAAAAGGCCACCAGGCATCCCATCTCAAAAACCGCTGAAAACCCCTGACACCTCTTCCCTTTGCATGACCCTCGTGTAGGCATTTTAAATACCAGCCACCGTCCAGCCTCATAGCAACACACAAGCCAGCAAAGTACAGCGAACTCACAATCTTCCCAGGAGCAGACAGCAGCATCTCTCTCCTGTGGTCGTTTCTATGGCTCACCTTGCACGTAGCGCCACAAGGAGTAACTTACGTGTGCCACCAGGGCTCAAAGGCAGTTGGGAATTTAAAAGGCAGTTGGAAATTATGTGGTTTCTTTGTGGTATGATATTTGTTGGTAGCCTTTTGCAGATGAGTTTTTTTGTTTGTTTTGAAATAATATTTTAAAAGTTGCCAAATCATTTTCCATCCTTTGATGCTGCATTGTCAGTGTCCATTGGATTATTGCTGATACCCTACAGGGGTGAGAACGTGGAAGCCCACTGGGACACGGGTACAAGGGTGCTCTCAATCTGAAGACAGCGTTGAAGCCGTGTTTAGGTTTGCTCTGTGCAGAAACACAAAGCACACGACTATAGTGCCGCTGGCGTGTTCTCACGTGGCAGATGAGAAGAAACCAGCTTTAAAGTTGAAGTTATACCCATAAACTCTCTACCATCAAGTCGATTCTGACTATTAATGACGCTACTATTAATGACTGTCTTGTGCATTTCCAAGACTGTAACTATTTATGGGAGCAGAAAGGCTCATTTTTCTGGTGGTTGAGAACTGCTGGCTTTGTGGTTAGGAGCCTAACATGTAAGACACTACACCTGCAGGGCTCCTTCAAGTTATACCCAGTTGGTCTAAATGGAAAGGAAATGTAATTGTCATCAGATACAACATTTATAAAATGGTATAAATTTCATTTGTTGCCTTTACTACCCCTTCCACCCTTTTCCTTGTGTCCTGTCTCCTTGGCATCTATAGATAGGTCTTTCCTTTAGACAAGCATTGTGCCCCTGTTTTGGTATCCTGAGAACATGCTTAACTTGCTTATTGGGCAATCTGTCCCTATACCCTGTCTCAGAGTGGACATCAGAGATTCTGATACCAGCATTCTAGGTTCAGTATCTAGGTTCAGTGCACATAGTCTCTGAGCCACACTGTAATAGTTAAACTCAGGTTCTAGCATTAGTCCGCTACTTTAGTGAAGACTATGAACCAGCCACTATGGAGTTGCCTACATGTGTAGCAGAGTAGACTTGTGCTCCGTAGGGTTTTCCATAGTTGATTCTTCTGTAAAGAGATCACCTGGCCTTTCTTCTGAATCACTTCTGGGTAGGTTCATACTTTCAGTTTATATACTGGCAGCAATAGATAAGTGTGTTAATATTTGCAGCATCCAGGTAATTCTATAAACCTGGGAAAGTTTCTTAAACTTTCTAAGCCTTGGTATATTCTCTTGAAAATGGGCTCCTAAGATTGGTGAACATTAAACTCCACTTTATCTTACCTGAGGGGCTCTGGAGGTGTAGTGGTTATTTGTTGCACTGGTAACCACAAAGTCTGAAGTTCAAAACCACCAGTCGCTCCTCAGGAGAAAGACAGGGCTTTTTATTCCCTTATAGAGTTACAGTCTTAGAAACCCACAGCGACAGCTCTGCCCTGTCCTATAATGTCGATCTGAGTTGGCATTGATGTGCCAGTGAGTTTCGTTTTTGGCTTTTGTCCTAGCCCGATGGCTGATGAGGCATGCATAGTACCAGCTGATCATAATTTGAGAGTGTGCTTTATTTTTCATTCCTGTTAAGTGCCCACATAAGCAATCAAGTCAGTTAATTAGGTTAAAATACACATCACTCAGACAGATTGCTTGGCATCCTCTGTGGATTGCAGATAAGGTCTAAGCTTTGCCTGCCAGAATGCTGTCATGTTTTTCAGTCTTGACCAGAGCAGGAAGATAATGCTGGTCGAGGGTGTGGACAGGCCTCGTGGTGTTTGGATGAGGTGCTGGAAAGTTAGTTGACGCTCACCAGCGATTTGTCATTCCACATGATCGTATTATAATTGTTCTTAATTCTTAGGAACCTAAAATGCACAAACAAAAAACAGCTTCTCTGGCTGTCTCGAGTGTCCCCTGGATCATTAGAGAACCTGGAAAGTTGCCTCTGAAGTGATGAGTTCTAGGCAGATTGTGGCTTTGCATCTGATCAGAACCCAGGGCAGGGGTTGATGGTCTAAGCACTGGCAAATAGGGACACGTGTCCCCCCCCCCCCCAGACCTCCTTAGCGATTCCTTGGGGCATGGTGGTGGTGTAGCTGGTAGAACACATTGTCCAGTTTGATTTTACTGCTGGCATGTAGGGAAACGGGAAATGGAAAACAGAGGAAATTTCAGAGACTCGGTGAATGATATGATTGTGCAAAAAAGAGAAAAAAGTCTAAGAAAATAGCAATTTTGTTCTTTCATTCCGAAGTTTCTTTTTAAAAATTTTAATAAATCATATTATTGGGGGATCTTACAGCTCTTATAACAGTATATACATTAATTGTATCAATCACATTTGTACATATGTTGCCATCATCATTTCCAAGACATTTTCTTTCTACTTGAGCCCTTGGTAACACCTCCTCTTTTTTACCCCTCCACCCCCCACCCTCCCAACCCTCGTGAACCCTTGATAATTTATAAATTATTTTTTTCATATTTTACACCATCCGTTGTCTCCCTTCACCCATGTTTCTGCTGTTTGTCCCCCTGGGTGGGGTGGAGGTGGGGTTGTACGTCGATCGGTTTCCCCTTTCTCCCCCTTCTCCCCCACCTTCTCTCTAACCTCCTGGTATCACTACTCACATTTTATTGGTCCTGAGGGGTTTATCTGTCCTGGATGCCCTGTGTTTCGAGCTCTTATCTGTAGCAGTGTACATGCGCTGTTCAGCCAGATTTGTAAGGTAGAATTTGGATCATGATGGGGGGGGGGAAGCATTAAAGAACTAGAGGAAAGTTGTGTGTTTCATTGGTGCTATACTACACCCTGACAGGCTTGTCCCTTTCTTGTGACCCTTCTGTGAGGGGCTGTCCAGTTGTCGACAGATGGGCTTTGGGACTCCACTCCAACCCCTCCCATTCACAATGAAATGGTTGGTTGTTTTTTGGGCCTTCTGATGCCTGATACCTGATCCCATTGACACCTCATGATCACACAGGCTGGTGTGCTGCTTCCATGTGGGCTTTATTGCCTCCCTGTTAGATGGCCAATTGTTTAATTTCAAGCCTTTAAGAACCGAGGTTCTATATCTTGTAATAGCTGGGCACCATCAGCTTTCTTCACCCTATTTGCTTATGTGCCTATTTTCTCTTCAGGGACTGTATTGGGAAAGTGAGCATCACAGAATGCCAGGCTATTAGAACAAAGTGTTGTTGCATTGAAGGAGGACTTGAATAGAGACTCAGTGTTCATCTGATACCTTAATACTTAACATATGTGTATATATATATATACACACACACATACATGCATAGACCTATATCCCTGTTGTTATATATTAATATATTTACATATGTAAATGCACATGTTTATACCTCTATAAATGTCTTTTGCCGGCTAGTTCTTTCCTCTATATCCTTTACTTTCCTCCTGTCCCACTATCATGTTTGACCTTCATTTGGCTCCCTGTACTTCCTCGTAGCTACACTGCACTTGATTGAACCCCACCAGGCATTCTATGCCCTCCTCGCCATCAGTTTTAGTTTTCTTGTTCCCTTGTCCCTGGGTTTGTTGGCTCCCCATTCCCATTCCCCCACATCCTCCTCTCCCTTTCCCCCTTGAACCGTTGGTCCCATTGTTTTCTCCTCTGGATTGTTTATCCCATCTATCTTATATAGATAGATATATGAAAAATCTGGCGGGGGGGGGGGAGTTTCTTTATTCAATGCTAGTAAAGGTTAAGCTGAAAGGAAGAGGAAGAAAAACAGTAGGCTCATACCTGTCCGAAGATGGAGTTCTTTCCTTAGTATTCAACCAGGAAGCCTCTGAGAGGGGATTGGGTTGGGAGGGGTTGGGCCAGTGAAATCACATTGCAAATAAAGTCTGGCTGCTGTTCCAGATGAAATCAGGAGGATTCCGAAAACCCTCTTGTCTTGTTTTGCTTTTGAATGGAATTGCAAGGAAGGATTGCACATTGTGTTTGTAGCTAATAGGCAGTGAGTTTGTAAATGTACATTTTCTCTTTCTCAAGGTTATGTCCAGAGTGTTTGTTAGAAGTTTAGTGAATGTGAACACTTATCAGCCTGAAATAGGTGTGACAGTGATGGAACTGTGTCTTTTTATCCTGCAGGGGTCATCTCTCAGTTAACAACGCTAAGGCGAGGTTTCGGAAGCGAGTAGTATGGACCAACAAGAACCGCCTCCTCACATGCCAGAAGGTAACGGAAGGGTTTATTTCAGTAGATGTATCCCTGAAGGAAAGCTCAAATCAAGTGGAAAACTAGAGGGAGACCTGCTGGTCTAGTGGGTTAAGTGTTGTTTAAATCCACAAGCCACTCCTTGAGGGAAAGCTTAGGCGATCTGTCCCAGTAAAGATTTCCAGTCTTGGAGACCCTGAGGAGCCATTCTGTCCTGCCCTGGAGTACCACTAGGAGTTGGCGTCAACGTGATGGCAGTGGGTTGTAATCTCAGTGGATTATGGTGAATTGTGGCTGTCACCAAGGACTCCATATTTTGAAATCACTAAATTGCTGGTGACTATGGTATAACTTGAGGTGAACACTTCTTAGGGAGATTGACAAAGTTCTGACTGCAGACAGTAAAATGATGGTGAACTTAACCACTTACACAATCCCCACCGAACCCCTCTCCCCTTTCCTGATCCAGCACTGGGCCTCTTCCGTTCTCCTGAGGTGTTCTCCTTCATGCAGGTTTTTGTTTCAGTAGCCACATTTTATTGGATTAATAGCTATAAAAATGTTGCAATTTCAATTTATTTCCCCACTGAATCATAGCAGTTATATGTTATCATAGAAAATGGGAGAATATAGAAAGATAAAAACAAGAATCATGAAATCCCACGGAAGATACAATTTTGTGACTTATGCTAATTACTAGAGTGACTTTAACCAGTTAGAACTAAAGTGGGAGGTGGAAGGTATTGAAAGAATTTAGGTTTAGAAAGAAGCTTATCCAACAATAATGTTCAGACACCAAACTACAGGCCCCTAAGTTCGTGGGAATTCAGCTGGAGACTCAGTTCCTTTCTTCCATCCGCCCTCCCCTGTCATGCACATGGGAAAAGGTCCTGGATTTCTTTATCCATCTGCCTAGTAGGTCAAAAACAGACCATGGAGCCACAAACTAAGCTTTCTGCTATAGGAGACCTGGCATTCTTAAGTTACCATGGCGGAGTCACTGCTGAATAAACGAGACAGGAAACACTGTCAAAACTATGCTTAATCAATTTTTCCACATTATGTCTTATTCAGAGTTTTGTAGTGCCTTTGGAAACCTAGCTCACATGTTCATGGTATCTTCTAGATCATATTTAGGCATGGTGGTGTGTGAATTACATAATATTACACTGCTTGCTATATGTAGTCTTTGGAACTCCGGTCAGAGGGCTGTTTGTTTTTTAAATCATTTTATTGGGGCTCTTATCACAATCCATACATACATCCCTGTGTCAAGCACATTTGTACATTTGTTGCCATCATCAATTTCAAACCATTTTCTTTCTACTTGAGCCCTTGGTATCAGCTGCTCATTTTTCCCCTCCCTTTCCCACTCTCCCTCCCTCATGAGCCCTTGATAATTTTTAAATTAATATTATTTTTTCATGTCTTAAGCTTACACTGACTGATGTCTTCCATCACCTGCTTTGCTGTTGTCCATCCTCCTTGGAAGGAGTTATATGTAGATCATTGTGATTGGTTCCTCTTTTCTCCTCCTACCTTCCCCGTACCCTCCTGGGATCAGTACTCTCATTATTGTTCCTGAGGGGTTTATCTGTCCTGGATTCCCTGTGTTTCGAGCTCTTATGTGTAGCAGTGTACATGCTCTGGTCTATCTGGATTTGTAAGGTAGAGTTGGGGTCATAATAGTTGGGAGTGGGGGGAGGAGACATTAAAGAACTAGAAGAAAGTTGAGTGTTTCATTGGTGCTATACTGCACCCTGACCGGCTTGTCTCTTCCTTGTGACCCGTCTGTAAGGGGATGTACAATTGTCTACAGATGGACTTTGTGTCTCCACTCTGCACCGCCCGCCCCCACCCCCCGCATTCACATGGGTATGTTTTTTTGTTCTGGGTCTTTGATGCCTGATACCTGATCCCTTCGACACCTCATGATCACACACGCTGTTGTGCTAATTCCATGTGGACTTTGTTGCTTCTCAGCTAGATAGCCACTTGTTTATCTTTAAGCCTTTAAGATCCCAGACACTATCTCTTTTGATAGCCGGGCACCATCAGCTTTCTTCACCACATTAGCTTATGTAACCATTTTGTCTTCAGCGATCGTGTCAGGAAGGTGAGCATCACAGAATGCTGGGTTATTAGAACAAAGTGTTTTTGCATTAAGGGAGTACTTGAGTAGAGAGGCCCAATGCCCATCTGCTACCTTAATACTTAACAAGTAAATATATGTACATAGATCTCTTTCCTTATTGTTATATATAAATATATTTACATAGGTACATGCCTGTGTTTAGACCTCTATAAATGTCCTCTGTCTCCTCATTCTTAACTCTATTTCCTTTTACTTTGCTCTTGTCCCACTATCATGTTTGGCCTTCATTTGGGTTTCAGAAATTCCTCTCAGCTACATTGCCCTTGTTAAAGCTCCACCAGGCATCCTATACCGTCCATGCCATTGATTTTTAGGTCATTTGTTGTTCCCTTGTCCTTTGGTTGGTTGACACTTCCTTTCCTTTCCCCCACTTCCCTCTCTCCCGTGTCCCCCCCAGAACCATCATTCCCATTGTTTTCTCTTTCGGATTGTTTATCCCGCTTATCTGATCTAGATAGACATCCAGAGACAATAATAAGCACGAAAATAAGACATAGCAAAACAAAGCAACAAAAGAAAACAAAAAACCAAAACAGCAACAACAACAAAAAACAATGACAAAAACAGAAAGGCCTATAAATAGTTCAAGGCCTATTTTGACCTTTAGGAGTATTTTCCAGTTGAGTTGGATAGGGTACAATGCCCTGGCCACAAAGTCTATTTTTGGTATTCCTTGGGGACTTCCTTGTTCTGCTCCCCTTGCTGCTCTGTTGCACACCCTTAGTGTTTTGCCCCAGTGTGGTGGGGTCAGATTGGGCACAATTCCTCTACTGTGTCTCCAGTTTTGCCCTGTGTAGCACTATGGGTCAGTGAGGGATGTCCTGTCTTATAGTGGAGCCCGCCCTATGGTCCTCTCTGTGCATTGGCTGCTCTGAGCAAGAATATTGTCTTTGAGGCTTGGTGGGCCAGGAAGTGTTCCACTCTCTCTTCTTCCATCTTCGTTTGTGTGCTCTGATTAGACATGCAACTCTCCCCGAGCTATAGCTTCAGTGCTATCCTCTGAAGTGAATTCTTCTGAGGGGAGGTTGGGAGGGGGTGTGTCCACGTAGTTGGGATTGGGGCTGGCCCTGCAGACCAGAGGACTGTGTTGTTGGTAGGGGTATCAAGTCAGTTCCTACTTATGGCAACCGTCTGCATAACAGAACAAGACACTGCCCAGCCCCACACCATTCTCCCAGTTGTTGCTTTGTTTGAGCCCATTGTAGCAGCTATAGTGTCAATTCATCGTGTTGATGATCTTCCTCTTTTTCCTGACCCTCTGATGTTAGATGCTTATGGCCCACTGAAGAGGCTAGATTGGCTAGTCTGCTCATAATATAAGTAAGATCTATGGCACCCTTGTGGGATTGGGACCATGCAAATAAGGTGGGTGGAACTCTAATGTGGGGTTGGGTAGCTTGCCTTCCCTCGAGGTCTAGAGGGGATCTCATCACTACCAAGAAAGAAGATCCCAGAATGGAACATATCCTTTGGACCCAGTATACCTGTACTGAGAACTTCCTCAACCCAGGAAATTGTAACACTGGTGATGGCTAGAGACAGGGAGGAATACTGGCAGAGAAACAGCAGCAGCAGCAGCAACAGAACCAGGAGACCTTCAGAAGACTGGCAAGCTATGTCATGGTGGTCTTCAGAGCTCAGAGCGAGACTGCTGTGATCACCTTTGGGCAGGAGGCTTGCTGTCAGGCTGGGGTGCCTCCAAGCACATGATAGAGGGAGGTTTGCTTACACACGGCACTAGAATTGAGTGATTTGGGGGCCCAGGCGTATTAGCAGAGTTGGATGCCCCTAGGCATTTATTGACAGACCTGAAAGTCCTTTGTAACACTTGCCAGAGCAGGGTAGAAACTAAGAGGACACGGGTCACAGAGAGGAGTGACTTCAGGCACTGCTGAGAGGAGGCTGTCCTGATCCAAGAGTTATATCCTTTGATATATGGTTTTTAATCCTGAATTGCTGCCTTCAGCCTCCCTAATATTCCCATAGCCATGAGTCTTGTCTGTGAGTCCCGGGTGACAATCGGAATGAATGATTGAACCCAGCAGAGGAATGGAGAATGTCTTGAGAGGGAAGGTTAGTGTCAGAATTGGTGAAAAGTTTGGAGGGTGGAGACACATCTGGCCTCTGGCTCAGGAATCAGCCCTGGACTGTTGACCTTAGCTCTCCTTTCCTTTTGTGAAGTTAACTCAACCCACTGCTGTCACATTGATTCTGACTTAGAGTGACTATACATAGGGTTTAAGGCTCTGTAAATATTTACTGTAGCAGACAGCCTCATCTTTCTGCTGTGGAGTGCTGGCAGGTTTCTTAGCCTTAGCGGTCCAACACTTACCTGACAGCACCAACGGGCTCCTTTCCCTGTAAAGTTAGAGATGCCTCTGCCTCATCACTTTCAGACTAATCTGAGTGGTCCCCGCATACATAGGAGGCTGTGAGAGGGCAGAAACCACAAGGGTAATTAAGCAGAAAAGGTCTGGCAGTTAATTTATGCAGCTTCAAAGGCCTTTACACCAGAGACACCGCAAGCGTGGACCTTTGAGACAGTTGATCTCAAAGACTCTGGTTCTCCCTTCTTCTGTAAGCCATTCCTTAAGGAATCCTGAGACATGTGTCATTTCCCGCTAGAAAACTTCTGGTACCAAGGTGTATACTAACCTATATAGCCTAATGAATTTTAGTGGCAAGGGGAGGCCATTCCAGGAATTTCCAGTGTTATGATACTGGCTATATGCTTAAAAGATTCTCCTGCAAACAGGGAGGGTAGAGGGAGAGTGGGTAGGAAGGAGGGAACCGATTACAAGGGACTATATGTGACCTCCTCCCTAGGGACGGACAACAGAAAAGTGGGTTAGGGGAGATGTCGGAC